ACACACACACACAATACAATTTCAGCTACACTTTAGGTGCAAATAAACTCAAAGGACTTGAAGTCCTGAGAATTAAATTAGATAACTACAAAAATACTTTCATTTTTTTACATAGTATATCTACTGTCATGACCCATTTACTAGTCAATAATCAGAGAAATAAAATATAAAATTTCAAACTCCTAGCTGATAGTGGAGGTGCTACTTATGATTATACAAACCTCTAGAGGCTGAAGCAGGAGAATCATTTTTGAGGCCAACTGAGGCTACACAGAAACTTCACGGCTGATATGGCTTAAACTCTGACATAAAAATAAATAAGCAAGTAAATAAATAATTAAAAAGTAAGTAAAAACAACAAATTACCGATGACATATATTCCATGAGAAAAAATAGCATTACATGAAAATTAATTCATCTTAGTTGGTAAATGAGCAGAGAAAGTCAGACTCCAAATAAAACACAATTATAAGGTTTATATTTTTGTCTAAATAGATCTTGGAGCCTCTGAGCCCAAAAGGAGAAGATCAACCAGGTCTGAGGCGTGAGCAGGGCTGATACAAGCTGCTCAGTGCTGATTACTTTGCTGTACGAAGGACAGCCCTGCCCAGAACTGATAACCATGGACAAGTAAGACAGCCCTTCATATTACCCTACCTTTGTCAAAGTGTATAAAATTCTTCTTTTTAAAAAAGAGTTCTTATTTTAAAATTATCCAATTGTTGACCCCCAACATGAGTCAGAACAGTAAATAACACTATTTTTAAATCCAAAGGTCTTTTTTCAGTCAACTGAAATGAATTCATCACCTCAGATCCTCTAAAGTCCCTTGCCTCTTAACTTTATTTTAAAAATGTACACACATACCCAGGTGCTGGCAGCTCACGCATGTGTAATCCTAGCTACTCAGGAGGCTGAGATCTGAGGATTGCAGTTGAAAGCCAGCCCTGACAGAAAAGTTCCTGTGAGACTCTTATCTCCAATTAACCACTCAAGAAAACCAGAAGTGGAGCTGTGGCTCAAAGTGGTAGAGCACTAGTCTTGAGCAAAAAGAGCTCAAAGACAACAACAAAACACAAAAACAAACAAACAAACAAACAAAAAACAACGTACACACTTCTCAAATGCAAATCTCTAATCAAAAAGTAGAATGCCTTGAATTCTTTATCTGAGTCTTTTCTTTTTTTTAATTTATTTTATTTTATTTTATTTGCGAACATACAATTACATGGGCAGGATAATGCGTACATTTCTTACCAAGCATTGCAGCCTCCTCCTTTGTTTACCCTTCACATCCCTTCCCAGCCTCCCCCCTCCCCCCCAATCCCAATCCTTCTCAGGCTCTTCATGTGATCAGGACCAATGGGATTTCTTGAGAAACAACAGAAGTACTAAGAGGGTCAGAGGTTGAGGTTGTTAAGACATCAAGGAAAAGATTGCTCTCATCCTGTCTTTCAAGCTATCCCAAGGACATGCTTTGATACTCGTACCATTAAGGATAAAGAATATTTAGATTTTGAAGACTTGTATGTCTGTTTCAAAAGAATAGGAATACCAGGTAGGACTACATTTAAAGTTAGCAACTTCCGGAATAATAGCTAAAGAGCTGTCTGAGTAACCCCTATAATGAATCTCTCATGGCTACAATGACTGAAAAAGAACTTTTTAAATTCATCTGTTTTATTTTATCAAGCCTCTTCCCTGACTCTCTCCTTGCTTTAGCATCATTTTCTTGTGCCAAATATGATTCTTATCTTATTTTTAAAATATAGTAGGCACACTTAACCTGAACTCTATAATAAAAAATAGTTTAAACATACCTGCTGTATTATCATCATTAATGCAACATTGTATAATGGCATAAAGATATATAATGTATCTCAAGAACTTAATCATTTGCATAACTGAAACTCTGTACCCTTTCTACTAGTCCCCTTCTGCTCTCCGCTTCTATGACTCAATTATTTTTATACGCTTTATGTTAGTGGTTTGCATAGCCTTCTGTGACTAGCTTATTTTACTTAGTATAAGTTCCCCAAGGTTTATACTATTGTTTCAGATGTCATGACTTCCTTCACTTTAAACACTAAATAATATTTTATTGCCTTTATATATCAAATTTCTTGTCTATTCATCTACTAATGGTTATTTTGTCTATTCCCATATCAGAGAAAGACAATCTCTGTCTCTCTGTCCCTTTGTCTCTGTTTCTATCTCTCTATCTCCCCTAATTAGTGATGTTGATCACTTACTCATATACCTGTTGGACACAACCATGCCTTCTCTAGAGAAACATCCATTTAAGCCCCATGCTCACTTCTATTTTCAGGGCAGGCATTACAACAGGGCTGTATGCATGCTAGAGCAGTCTTCTATCACTAATTCTCTGTCTATTTTTCATTGGATTTTTGTTATTATTTTTCTATTTATTGAGCTAAGGAAATTCATGATATGCTTTGTATATTAACCTGTTCTCAAATATAAGCAAGTTCATTTTATTCTGTTGTATAGGTTGCCCTTACATTTGGTTGATTGCTTCCTTTATAAGGCAGAAGCATTGTGGTTTGATCCAGTATTGTTTGCTGATTTTTGCTTTTGTTTCCATATTGTAGAAATCATTGCTAAAATCAATTTTATGAGCTTCCCCATGTTTTCCTCCAGGAGTTTTATATACATCCATTATATCTAATAAAATTTGGCACTAAAAGTGAATATATTTTTGGCAAGTATGCCAATTGTACATGTTCTCTGCCTAGAACTAAGCTGAGGAGGGGAAATTATCTTCACCCAAGAGACAAGAACCAACTTTCCACAAGATTAATTTGCATTCATTCATAATTTTTACAAGATTCTGTAAGATGTAGTTTCTATTTTATATGAAAATATGGCCTGAAATAGTCTCCTCCTATACTTAATAGCTTTTAGGTATTCAATTATGAGTCAACCCCAAGTCAATATAATCATTGTGCCATTCTGATTCTCTTTGATTTTAAGCAATCTTTTGGTGTACTAATATTTTCACTTCAGTTCCCTATAGTTCAGGATCATGTCATAATGAAATAAGGATACTGGAGCTAAGTAATGCCCATCTTGGCATCTTAATAGAAGTAAATAGACGATGAGAACTTTCTGAGAACTCCAGAGGTGAGAGGACATTCTTTGGTTTGCAGATGTGTCTGAGTTTTGAGCTCCAGGAAACTCATGCTCCCTCTAGGAAATTGGGATCCTTATTTCCCTCTATTGCTCCCCTGGACAGTCTTTTCTGCCTGTGTATGACACTTTTATTAGAAATAATTATCCTCATCTAGCTTGCTTTGTTTTATTTATAACACTTTCATTAAGGCTGTTAAGGCTTTGTCTCCACCCTAAGCACATGGTTTTTGTCTTTAAAAGCTGTGTGCTAGCTCTGTTCTGGGCTGCAGATCTTTGGGACAGGAGTCTATCTGTAGACTGCTAGTGTTCTAATAAACACTTCTGATCTGACCTCTCAAAATGTGGCTTCTCTGTTTTCTCATCATACAACAATCAAAAATAGCAAACATGGTGATCACACACACATGTGTGTATATATATGTATATATATGTGTGTGTGTGTGTGTGTGTGCTGTATATGTGTGTGCATGTAATTAGCCAACCAGAAGGACTGATTATCATGAAATAAAATGGTCTCTTCAACACATAGTTTGGGGGAAAATTGTATATCAACCCAAAACACTGAAATTGGACTCAAACATCAACTCTAATCAGAATAAAAGCTTAAATGTAAGAGATGTATAGAACTGCCAAATGGAAATACAGCACAAGTTTCATGACATTGGTCTTAGAAATGGCCTCTGGGATACAGGAACAAAAAAGTATAAGCAAGAAAAGCAAAGAGAATGAAGCTGGGTGTGGATATTACTCTGCTTTGAAGAAGGTATAAACCTTTTCAACTGTTTTCTTATTTTGGGGGCTTCACTTTAGTAAGGCAGCATCAAAGAATTATGAAAAGTATTTGTACCTGATTTTCCTCCATTAAAAATAGATTGTAGGCATGCCTTGCATGCCTGAGGCCCTGGGTTCAATTTCTCAGCACCACATAAGCAAAAAGAAAAAAGCCAGAAGTGGCACTGTGGCTCAAGTGGTAGAGCGCTAGCCTTGAGCTGAAGAGCTGAGGGACAATGCCCAGGCCCAGAGTTCAGGCCCTACGACCAGACCAAAAAAATAGAAATAGATTGTAAAATATCATGCCTCCTTTTTTCTACATATTAGATATTAGCCCTATTTTTATATGTTCTGAGATGCTATTAAATAGGTGGTCAGATGAAATACACATTCATTCCTTCCCATTTTTGTTCCTTCTGTTTAAATGCTTACCGGTACATCTGTATCATATTTTTGAAACCTCATATATTAGGCCATAAATAAAATATTTTAGGAAAACCTCTGCAGCAATAGTTGGTATAATTCATTAGAGGATCATAAATACCCACATTTGGGTATTGAGAAAGATATTGAGTTATCTTTTCTAGAAACAGATGTAGCAAGAATCTTTATGTGCCAAGTTCTTCTACTTCTGTGTTACAAAGAGGCAGAAACATGAGGAACACAAGATTCTTCCTTGATTTGTTAGCCCTCAGACATCATAAAATCTAAAACTCATCAAAAAACTAAAACACACTCTTAACATGTCTATAGCTGGTTTTTATTCCTACTCTTTTATCTGCAAATTTTGCTTTCATTTAGCTTTTGGAAATCCTGCTGAGAAACTGAAAGCCTTCATTTCCCCTGTCCAAGCCGCTGAGTCACCTTGTCTGTCAAAGTCAGCCTCTGCCTCAGCTGAGTAGCTGCGTATGCCTTCTATAGATAATGTGGAATGTCTCTGGTTGGCGGAATATTGAGACTTTTTTTTTCTTTACTACATTCACATTTCTGGCATCTCTGTTGAATTAGACTAGACATCTTTCTGTCTTTTCCCTAGATATATTTTTCTCTTCCCAAATTCCAGACCATTAGGAAAGATGGAGCACCTTGCCAAGGAAACCGTGAGTACAGAATTCAATTGTCTTCAATGCAGTTCATCCTTAAGTATACTAGGAAAGCTGTCCCCTTTGAGCATCCTGTATTATTGTTAACAGACTCATTAGAATTGTTCTTCTTTGACTTTTTAAAAATTATTTATTTTATTTTTTTATTTTTGGGTCCGGTCGTGGTGCCTGAACTCTGGGCCTGGGCACTGTCCCTCAGCTCTTTAGCTCAAGGCTAGCGCTCTACCACTTGAGCCACAGCGCCACTTCTAGGTTTTTTCTTTTTGCTTATGTGGTGCTGAGGAATGGAACCCAGGGCCTCATGTATGCAAGGCAAGCGCTCTACCACTGAGCCACCATCCCAGCCCTCTTCTTTGACTTTTAAACAGTAGTGAGTTTTAATTTTAACTATCCTTTTCTGAATGTTTCACTTCAAACAATAACTTAGGATTTATATATCTCTACAGCCACCAAGACTCAGTCAGCTTACATAGAGAGAAACTTAATAACTTGAGGCAAAATGATACATCAATAAGATTTCAGTCTCCCTGGAATGATTTAACTTTATAGCCATAGTGGTTATTGCCACCCACAGGGAAGCAATTATGTTTAGAAAAACTGAAACTTAAACTCTCTGTTTAATGTTCTGGATAAAACAAGCCTAGAAAACAGGACCAATGTTCTCATGCATGAAGTAGACCCAATGGATATTTTGCTGATCTTGTCACATATAGCCTGAATGCTACTAAAGAAGAGAATTCTTTCATGTTATCCAACAGAAAAACTAGGTATAATATTCTAAATACCAATTATTGAAAGATAAACAATTTGAAGCTTGTAGTAAGTAGGTAGAAGACATGCTGAATTCAGATTTGCAGTGTTTTTTGAAAGAAACCAAATAAAAATAGTATATAAATCGGCAACCATTGAGCTACATTTTACATGAGCTACATGATATATGGACTACATTTTTAAATACAGAAAGCAAATTTGTTTTTATATAATATAATTTATTAAATTAATTCTAGTTATTAAACTAAGTTCAGAATAATCAGCACTTGTCAGTGCCTTTTTAAGCACTAAAAAAGCAAAACAATAGATTAAGAGTCAATAAAACTACTTTTTTTTGTACTGATACTGGTGCTTGAACTCAGATCCTTGAGCTCTCACTTGGCTTTATAACTCAAAGTTGTTGCTCTATATTAGAGCCACACCTCTGCTTCTGGATTTTTACTAGTTAATTGGATATAATAACCTTTGATACATTATTTTAATCTATTTGAAATTCTGTGGTTAGCTACCAGTCCAACTTCACTATATCAACAGAATAAACACTAAATATTGGCACACATCTGTGTGAGCAGTATACATGATAAGAGTTATTACCTCAAACAGTTAAAGTTATGCAAATTCACTTAGGCCTTCTAACAATAGGCTTTTATAGGCTTACATAAATCTTGGCATAAATTTCTCATGATGAGTAAATGCTTTGGGATACATAAGAGTGCAGTGAACAAAAGACTTGAGAAGTAGCCATAAATAAAAGCTTCCTTCCTTCCTTTTTTTCTTTATAAAATTTCACTTGACACATAACAATTTTACATATATATGAGGCACTATGTGATACTTCCAAACACATAGAAACTTTTTAACTTGCAGGCTGCAGAAAGCAGTGGGCCAAAAGTTTTGGAAACAGCAGAAGAAATCCAGCAGAGGCGTGAAGAGGTGTTGAATCGGTACCAGAGGTTCAAGCAACGTGTTGCTGAGAGGGGTCAGAAACTTGAAGAGTCCTATCACTACCAAGTTTTCAGGCGAGATGCAGATGACCTGGAAAAGTGGATCATGGAGAAACTGGAGATTGCAAAGGATAAGAGCTATGAGCCAACAAATATACAGGTCACCTTTCCACACACTCCTTTAGAGTAGATCCAAAGAACTCTAGGGTGGGAAGCAGGAGGTTTTGTTTGCTTCCTGTTAAAGTTGAAAGATGGATGTGAGTAAAATATGATATTATTTAGAAACAAATGAAACAAAGTTGAGGCAGTGAGGTGGGAGGTTTAAGAATTAAATTGAAAGAAATAGATCAGAACATGAACATGCACATGCCAAGTTCTTCCAGTTCTACTCATCTCCTAAAATGTCAAAGGGATGAGACTAAGGAAAGAAAAAATGGAGTCCATCAGTTGTTGAAAGCTCAGAACTGTTTTTTATAATGCACTTACACTCAAAATTCACATTCTTATCATGTAAAGGTACAGAGGGTTAATGGTAAGATAATGATGTAATATAGTGAACAGGTTATCAGTTAAAAACAATAATTCTACCTCTAAATGGCCCATGTCTTTAACTTCTAAGATCTTACTTGCAAAGAAAACTCATTCCAAACAGAACAGTGACTGAATCATTCAAGAAATCTCTTACATACCAATTGCTTTCAATGTTTTATTATAGTAAGTTTGGAATTATGGAAGGCAAGAATCTTCAGTGTTTCTGACGTATACTTCCTACCGTCTACACAACCAAAAGGTTTTCTAGATCTCCCTAAATTTCTACTCATGGCTCTTGGTCCAGAAGTTTTGTTTTGTTTTGCTTTGCTTTGCTTTTTTTTCTCAGCAAGGCAAAATTTACTTCTGCAGAAAAGTGCCCTACCCAAAACTCCGGCAAGCAATCACACAGAGCAGCCATGCTGTTCCCCTAGTCCCAGAGGGTCAGTAGAAACTTTTAGAGCTATCAGGTAACTAAGTATTATAGCATCTGACATAGACGTGGCCACAGGAAGGAGAGAGCTCACATGCTGACGTGGAGCAGGGAGCTCCAGGAACAAGATCAAAGTGACTTATGCAATGGATCCATTTACACGTGGTAAAAGTTGTTATGAGACCTCTCATCAGTTAGGGATCTGTTTTGAATAGAGCCCAGCTCCTTTGGTCTTTTCTGAAGAAGAACACTAAGTGTTACATATGTTTAGTCTTAGGGGAGCCTGCAGAACCCATAGTGTATTTACTGATAATTTCCCAAAGATCATGGAGACAAGACTTCCTGTCTTTTTCTCTTTGGCCTCCTTCTAGGACTCCTTCATATCTATGGTTAGTAAGTCTACCTTTAGTGACCATTTCTTTGAAGACACAACTGTTCCATTTATGCTCAGAGGTTATCAGTTAATTCAGGTTGGGAAGCAAGCTATTTTGCCTAGTATTAAGAGAAGGAATAAGAAGACCACACCATAATCTAGAGGATCTGTTTCATTTCTAAATTTCAGGCAAAATATCAGAAACATGAAACCTTTGTAGCAGAGGTGCAAGCAAAATCAAAAGTCCTTCCTGAACTGGAAGAAATTAGAGAAGTCCGGTTTACTGAAGATCATTTTGCCCATGAAGACACTAAGGTAAATCACTGGTATTGTCTCAGTGAGGAATTTCTTATTATGTTAATAAGATTTTAATTGAGTATACCAAATATAATGTTGGTGGCTTGGAACAAGAGCTCTTGTCTTTTGCATTCTGCTGGTGTTGAGCTAGAAGAAATAAATAAACTAGGAGATCCTTGTGTTCCATAACTCGGCGGGGGGATGGGAGGGAGTTGCACTATGATGTGGAAGATATCATTTGATAAGATTACATCTCTCTCTTTTGCACTGGGAGTTAATTTGCCTCAAGATCATGTTGCTTCAACCTCTTCCATATTTTTTAGAGGTAATGAAGTTTCCAATGCTTCCCCTCATTCTTTCTTCTGACGTCAGTGTCTTTTATCTTAAAACTTTCCAAAAATTAATGATCACCTATTTCAATCTTCTCTGAAACCTTTCCTCTTTTGCCTCTGAAAGCTTTCTTTCACACATCACACCATTTAACCTTTCCAAGCTCACCTTTCCACTCAATTTAAGATAGCCCTAGACTATCTTATCTTCAAAAAAATCCACCTTGAGCACAATGATCATAAAAATCACAATCATTTCAATGAAAATTTATAACTCCTATGCTTATTGTATTAGCTACTTTCTAACTTAACCGGTGCATTCATACTCTTCCAGACATGTCTATTGATAGTCAATTCAAGTTCCTTTTGGTATATTGAAGAATTCATCTGTTGCTAAAACATGATTGCCCTATATATTTAAAATCTGGGACTGGTCCTTCTGTGCAGCATAAAAGTTCTAGCTCATTTCACTGCTAGCAAAATAAGATCAGGGAAAATAAAAATTAGCGAGAAAAGAATCTTAGTAGAAAGAGAAACTCAGAACAAGAAAAGTATATGTTCATTTACATAAGATAGAAGTCATTTTGTATTACTCACTTGTGTGTGTAATTAATCCTCTACTTTAATAAAAAAATGGAGGAATTGTTAAAAAAAACATCTTTCACATGTCAGAAACACTAGGGCTCTATTGGACAGCATTATGACAAGGAGGAAGGAAATATGGTTCATATGCTACAGTGAGCAAGGAGAAGTTGAAAATGTAAACTTCTTGAAGATGGCATTCAGATGGTAATGTAAATTTCACAAAATGTGTAACACAGATGTTCCAAGCTAATCTGGAATTCAAAATCCTCTCTAAAGTCTCAAACTCTATAGTCCCAAAATATTCCAGTGCCACTTATTTCTAGTAGCTTAGCAGAACTGTATACACGTTCTGGGAAATATTCATGCTCTTTCTTCTAGGGCACTGTTCTGACTATTTATTGTATGTGAAACATTCTCCATCTATCATCCACCTGTGGAAATTCTTTCCGTTAGCTCAGTTTAAATACATACTCTTGTATCCTTCTCCTTGCTCATCTTGTAGCTTGCCATTGTTCTGTTCTCTAAAATCCCAAAGCATTTCAACAAGATTTCCTCTCACAGATCATACGGTAGCTATTTTCATGCATATTCTGTTATTTCATTTGTGTCTTTCTTGAGTGGGAGGAAAGTTTTTAAGCTGGGTTTTTCTTCTGCACACAACTCTGAGTCTGGATCTACTTCATAGCCCCTGCCTGAACGGTTCTGCCTCTTCTCTCACAAAGACCCACCTGGAGGAACTGCGTCGCCTGTGGGACCTGCTGCTGGAGCTGACCCAGGAGAAGAGCGATGTGCTGCTGCGGGCCCTGAAGTTCCATCAGTACTCACAGGAGTGTGATGACATCTTAGAGTGGATCAGGGACAAGGTATCAACAAACACGGTCATTACATTCAGTGTACATCATGCAAAAATTGAACAACATAACTTGAGGGTAGGGATGAGGGAGAAGGAAGAAAGGGGTGACATTGACCAAGAAGGACTGTACTCATAGCCTGACTTGTGAAGTAGTAACCTCTTTGTACAACTACTTAATATACATCCAATACATTAGCTATATCTCTATCTGTATCTATATTAAATACAGCATGCCTTTGAACCCTCTGAGCCCTCTGAGCCAGGTATTCTAGAGCAACTTTCTGCAAATTACTCTGCAAAAAAGAAAGCCCAATCCTGGACTTTATCATTTTGAAAGAAATAGAACATTGGGCAAAGATTTAGGGATGTTCAAGAGATTAATATGGTAGGGAGCAAACAAAAACCTATAGGTCTGAATATAAAGAAGAGAAAAATTTACACAGAAATAGCATGCCTTTAAATTTAATGTAGGTTCATCTCCCCTTTATGTCCTGTGTTCTTTCATTCCCTCTCCTACTTTTTGATCATATTCCAGGTCTTGACTGAAAATATTCCCCATTCTTTTTCTAATCTCTTGCCTCTCCATGCCTATTACTACTATGTTGAGTTTTATATTTCCTTAACTTTCTAAACACATTTTTCTAAAGACTGAAGATATGCTAACGCGATTGCACTATGTAATGCTTTTTTGTAGATTTGCAGTACACAAAGGTAATAAAATCAGAATACATTGACTCATCATCTTTTGGAGCATAAAAAGGATGATTCTAGAGGCTCTGGTCAGCAACTCCTCTAATCTTACTGAGTGTCAAAAGGCATTGTCCCCACCTCAAGAAATACATACCTGCTTCTGGCTTTTCCCACAAGGACTCTCTCAGGCTCCACCAGTATTTCCATTCGAGTTGTCCCAATGCAAATATTTACCGGTGACTTGGAAAACTTTTCTGTGTCTACAGGAGGCTATAGTGACACTAGTAGAGCTGGGTGAAGACTGGGAGCGCACAGAAGTTCTGCATAAGAAGTTTGAAGAGTTCCAGGAGGAGCTGGCAGCTCGAAAAGGGAAAGTGGACAGAGTGAACCAGTACGCCAATGAGTGTGCTGAGGTGAGGTGGGGGCAGTGGAGCCAAGGTGGGGAAATATCCTGAGCTTCGTGAAGAACTTCTAGTAATTAGTAGGTGGGCTATGAAAAAATAGGGCATTGCAAGAAAACAGAGTGCATATTCTTAAAGTAATAGGCATAAGCAGCACCCTCTACCTTCTGGATCCATCCACTCCTTAAAGTCTAGAGAAATGGAAGTTGCAGGGGTGGGAGAAAAGAGAAGCAAGGAGACAGAGAACAAAGATATAGAGAGAAAGGGAGGAGGAAGAAGAGGAGGAGGGATTAAATGAAGTAACTCCTGTACCGTGCAATATATTGTGTGTTCATGTTTGTGATGTAGAGATAAGAACAAATTAGCATAAAGTAGTGCTGAGATATCACAATATAGCAAGATATAGATATAGATATAGATATATACACAGGTATGCTATCCATTGTACATGGTTTCCATGATTATTTTTAGAATTGCAAAAAGGAAAACTGGTTTATTTACTATCATTAACTCATGACAGTGCACAAATGGGTAGAAAAAGACCTGGTATCATAATAAATTACCCAATAATATAATATGTAAGAAAAAACTGGAATGGTATATATGTATATGTATGTGTGTATGTGCAAAATCAGACATATATAATGTATTACATAATGCAGATACCTACATGCACACATATTGTACATGTTCATGAAATAATAAACTACAATAGTTGCCTAGATCATGCTTTTCTATTTATAGATCTATTATGATTTCAGTTGTATATTGAAAAATGTTAATAGCCTTGTGTTGGAAGAACAAAGAATTCAGGGTGAACAGGTACTAAAAAAGGAAAAATGATTGTTTTCTAATTTATTTTACATACCATATTTCCAACAGTTCCTACCTTTTCCCCCTTTGCAACATTTTTTCTTGTTGTGAAGGCTTCTCATTTATCTATAAACTTCTAACCATTATAAAACTTAAAACAAAAAAATTGCTTATAATTCAGTGAGTCAGATATTTGAGCACCAGCTGGGCTATTGTCCTCCTGTACCTCCTGTATTTTAATGTGACTGCAGTTAGTAGATGATTTAATTAGAGTTGCATCAATCCCATGTTTGGAGCATTGCCAGAGATAATGGAATGTCTCCATGTGTTCTCTTGTCCTTCAGTAGGCCTGCGTCTTTGTATATCAGGCAGGGGAGGAGAACAGAAGCTGAAAGACTTCTTGGAGCAGAGATGCTGGAACTTACAGAAAATTAATCCTGTCACCTACCACTAACCCAGTCCAAGGTTGATCTGGAGTCAAAGCAGGAGGAGGGAGAAATAGAAATAAAAAAGCATCTACAATTAGATACAGCTTCTCTTTTGGCGTGGGGCCTCCACAGCTATAACAGAAAGGACCAGACATGCAAGGTGGAGATTGGAGATAATTCAGTGTGAGGAGCCTTGGAAATGGGAATATGAATGAAAAGAACAGGGGGGATGAGTGAGGAGTAAAGGGATTTGTACATATGAGAGCTCTTCAAAATCCTGAAATATCAAAATAGGAGAAGGCTGCGACCTAAGTATTCATAAAGATCGTCGCTTCAGGTAGCTTGCAAAACACCTGAACATTTCTACAAAACCTTATGTGCGTGGTCTACACATAATTATAGAAAAAGATGCCAGCATCAGTGGTTCACACCTTTAATCCTAGCTACTCAGAAGGCTGAGATCTGAGGATCTTGGTTCAAAGCCAGCCCGGGCAGGAAAGTTCCTGAGACTCTTATCTCCAATTAATCACCAGAAAACTGGAAGTAGTGCTGTGACTCAAGTGGTAGAGCACTAGCCTTGAGCTGAAGAGCTGAGGGATAGCACCCAGGCCCAAAGTTCAAGCCTCATGACCAACAAAAAGAAAAAGAAAGAAAGAAAGAAAGACAGAAAAAACAGAAAGAAAGAAAGAAAGAAAGAAAGAAAGAAAGAAAGGAAGAAAGAAAGAAAGAAGGAAGGAAGGAAAAAAGGAAGGAAGAAAGGAAGGAAGGAAGGAGGGAAGGAAGGAGGGAAGGAAAGAGGAAAATGTTTTTCCTTGAAATATAAAAGGTATCAAGAGCCACAGCACTAGCATTTAAGAAAATTAAGTTGTACTTCACAAAGGGAAATTTCTTTCCCTTTGCTTTTAAGTTTCAAGGTGATTTATCAGGCACTGTGTGCATCAAGTCCAATGCTGTTGGCACAGGATCTAATCTCTGGCAGACTGGGTTTTCTATATTTTGGTAATATGCATGAAATGACAACTAGGAAGCCAGTTACTGTGGTCCTCTCCACTTCCAACAAAGTATTGCAGTGTGAAATTACATTTTAAGTGTTTTTTTTAGTCTAACTTCATCTTTGCATACCTCAAGTATTGGTTTTCTTTGCAGGAAAAACATCCTAAGCTGCCCTTGATAAAGTCAAAGCAGGATGAGGTAAACATGGCTTGGGAGCGTCTCTGTAACTTGGCTCTCCAAAGACAGCAAACACTGTCCAGTGCTGCAGACCTCCAAAGATTCAAGAGGTATGGATTTTCTTATAGAAAGAAAAAATAAACAGAAAAGTGTTAGGTTTTTAAAAAGAGGTAGCCGAGTAAGAACTGCATCAGCACACACGTGGTATTCAGGTAAGGGGTAGGTTTATTCAGTAGACCTGCTGGGACCAGGCAAGGTTGGCACTCCACGTGGCTGGGAAAGAGAGAGAGCAAGAAAAGAACAGAGAGAGAGAGCTAGAATAGAACAGAGAGAGCAAGAAAAGAGCAGCAAGAGCAAGAGGGTGAGTGAGAGCAGAAAAGAAGAGCAAGAGCAAGAGAGAGAGTGAGAGCAGAAAAGAAGAGCCAGAGAACGTCTGGGCCTGGGCTAGGCCTTATCTAGGGTATGGGCGGGGAAAGGTGTGGCCACATCAAATTCGGATGTGACCTCAGCGGATGCAGATGTGACCTCTTCCAGGTGTCCCAGTTGCCTAGGTAACGCAGGTACTGGGTGGAGACTTTGCTGCGAGGAGGGTGGAGTCTGCTAGCCATCCAGGAGTCGACCTTACAAAAAGCATCATCTATCTTTCCTTTTTTAAAAAAAATCTTTCTTTTTTTCTTAATCCTGGGCTTTGAACTCGGGTTCTTGAATAAGCACTGCCATTTGAGTCATGCCCCAGTCCTTCTGCTTTAGCTGGGTTTTTGTTATTGTTTTGCTGTTGTTGCTTTTCAAAATGGATCATGTGCTTTTGTTTGAGTCAGTCTCAGACCTTGATCCTTCTGCCTCTGCCTTCAAAGTACCTGGGATTACAGGCATGCATCCCCAGGTGTGGTTCTTTCTATTAGCCCTGTCTACTCCTCTTAGAAACTAGTGGTTAATACTTCAAATCAATGAGCATCAGGTTTTTCTTGCCTTTAAAACAGCAAGAGAGTTAAGAAAATTGAGATGTACTCTAAAGCAATGATATGGAAGTTGAAGGCCAAATTATAAAAAAAAATCACACTGGTGTATTAGAATCTCTTCTGAGACTAGATTGGCAAATAAGAATTTGATGAGGTAGAGTGGGGAAAATGCCATTTATGAATAGCTAGTTCTGATAGGAGAAGTAACTCTGGAAGACCAACTGTTAGGAGGTCCTTAGTATCCCAGTGGACACAACCCTCAAGGAAGAAACTTTTAACTTAGTTTTTGCTAGCATGTAGGAAAAGTAGGGTAGTTGCTACCTGGGTGAACTAGGCAGGTCCTTGCTGTGTGTTCTGCTGTTCTGCTTGCCTGTGGGGCCTATCATACTGTTTTGTTAGCGCTTATATTGATGCCTATCTGATAGGGATGTGACTGAAGCCATTCAGTGGATCAAGGAGAAGGAGCCTGTACTTACCTCAGAGGACTATGGCAAGGATCTCGTAAGCTCAGAGTCACTGTTTCACAGTCACAAGAGACTTGAGAGGAACCTTGCAGTCATGCAGGACAAGGTAAGTCACTGTTGGAGGAATGGTTTTGCTCATAGAGTTAGAAAAGTTATGTGTTAATCATCAATGGAAGGGAAGTTTTGTGGTACTTCATGATATGTCCTTAGACTACTTTGGACTTGTCCACCAATTTTGGGAAGTCCTTACTTTATTAAAATTATTTTATCGATGTATCCATGCTCTATGCTTCATATTCTCATTAAGTGATGCATAATTTAAAAATAAAAGGATTGCTGTGAGAAGAATTCTCTAAACTACCCTGTGGTCAAAGATTTTCATTTCAGTACATTTTTTTGTTTCTGTTATAGTTGAATGCTATTTCTTTCTATCCTCAGTAGACTGGGGAAGCATTTTCTTCTTTTTTTCTAATAAACTGTGAGACCCATTAAACTACATTTGCCTTTAAGTTTCTTTCTAAAGTCTGGAAAGCTCTGTTTCATAAATGTGAGCAAATATAGGCATGCTAGAACTTAGAGCAAACCTATATCCTTGAACTTTTCCCGTCTTCTATTTCTCCCTGCTCCCAACTCTTGCCCAAATTTAATCCCATTATTACTGGTTGTCTACAAGAGTTTGCTCACGTAGATTATTTTCTGTTATCTAATGATAACCCTGCCCCCCTCTGACCAGTTTCTCAAACTGCCACTATTTCACTTCCTTAATTCTTCCTCCTTGTTTTTACTTTTGAATAATAAAATCCCAGGCCTTGATGAATATCGATAATAAAATTCCAACCCCTCTTCAATATCTGATTATAGTTGAACATAATGCAAGAACTAATGGTAACACGTGGATAGTTGCCCAGGGTTGCCTTTTAGCAAAAGTGATCCTGCTTTTTGGGAATGGTGCTTAAAATTGTTTGTGTTACTGGAATTTTCTTCATCTTTTAGGCAGAAATGTCGTCTTGACTCCCACTATAATATTCAGAGGAAAACCACTACAAGGTGGTGAGGAACAGATTTATACTTAAGTCTGGCAGTAGTTTCTAAGTTGGGCATCAGTGTCTCATGCCTGCAATCCTAGCTCCTCAGAAGGCTGAGATCTGAGGATCTTGGTTTGAAGCCAGCTCGAGCACATGAATCTGAGACACCCTTGTTTCTAATTAACTAGCAAAAAAATCCAGAAGTGGAGCTGTGGATCAGGTGGTAGAGTACCAGCCTTGAATGGAAAAAACTAAAGCAAGTGCTAGGCTCTGAGCCCAAGCCCTAGTACTGTCATTTAAAAAAAAAAAGAAGTTTCTGCCTCATGATTATTAAATGATGAATGCCAAATGAGCAAATGCATGTAAAGAGCTAAGCACAGTGAGATATGCAAAATGCTCAATAAATTATAAGTATAGTATATTAATATATTAGTGTAAAATTGTCAATATTAATTCATCAGTATTAAGTATTATATTAAAATAGTGAAATTTTGTCAACGATTAGTATTCATATAATTGTTGTTTTATTATATCTCTGCCATTAAATTAAGCAAGGAGTCAAAGTGCATGGATTCTCTACTAGGTTTCTTTCTTATTCCAAAGGTAAAGGAGTTATGCGCCAAAGCAGACAAGCTGATGACTTCCCACCCTGCAGATGCCCCTCAGATCCAGCAGATGAAGGAGGAGCTGATCTCCAACTGGGACCACATTCGGGCCTTGGCTACGGCCAGATATGCAAAACTTCAGGCTTCTTATGGGTGGGAATCCCTCTTCTCTATTGCTCTACCTGCCTCCCCCAAAGTAAAAAATGGGTGAAGGGGCTAGAATAGGGGGGGAGTCAAGTCTTCTGCTTACTCAGTAGAAGCAAATGAAGTTTTACCTTAACAAGGAAAGTCTCTTATGGCCTCACACTTACCCCCCACTCATCCATATGCCTCCATCATTCCATCATTATAGGCTATTACAAAGTAGACACATCATGCTAGAATAGCTCTAGCTAAAGAGCTAAATTGTCCATCTGAAGGGCCTCAACATGACTCCAGAATCATCTCCTGAGACTGTAACCTAAAAGCTTACAAGAAGCCAGGCTTTGGTGGTTCACGCCTAGCTACTCAGGAGGCTGAAATCTGAGGATCACAGTTCAAAGCCAGACAGGGCAAAAAAGTCACCATAAGACTCTTTTTAAAAATTTTTATTTTATTGTAAAGATGCTGTACAGAGGGGCTACAGTTACATGAGCAAGGTAATAAGTACATTTCTTGTCTAGCATTGTTACCCCCTCCTTTGTTTTTCTCTTACTATCCCTTCCCTTCTCTCCCTCCCCAACTCCTCTTCTCTCCTGGAAGTTGTAAAGTTCATTTCCAACATTTTGGAATGGGTCATCCTGTATCCTTGTTTCAGCACTTTGAGACTCTTATCTCCAATTAACCACTCAGAGAGAAAGGAACGAAGGAAGGAAGGAAGGAAGGAAGGAAGGAAGGAAGGAAGGAAGGAAGGAAGGAAGGAAGGAAGGAAGGAA